AATATAGCCGTCTGTAACCTACGTATTCCTCCCAAACGAATTTTTTATATCTTTGGTCGTTTTCCCATAAAGCTCCGTCCCGTTGAGCGTGAGCCACCCTGTATATACAATATATACATGCCTATTATAAAGTGTCTATTGTTAATATATAAAAAAAACTATTTTTATTACCTTGCAATTCCTTAAATATAGGTCGTTTCAATGATTTAGGATTCCATCTTTGAGGCCGATTAATGACTGAATTTTCTTTGTCAGGAGTTTCAAAGCATTTTACTGTGCCTGAAGTAGATGCTGGAAGTTTGACCTCTTCCTAAAACGAATTTAAATGAATTAATAATAATCTTGTACCTATTTAATGTTAGTCTATTTTATTTTAATCTTTTAATTATTGATAATAATACTCACCAAAAGTTAACAAAAAATTATATAGAACATACAGTGTCCCAGAATTGTCGCGCCAATAGGTGTATGACAAAACATATCTGTATTTTACCATAAAGCGTAATTTTAAATAACTTAATTTTTTTGTGTCTCAAAAATAAAGCCAAATAATTTATATTTGGAGTCTATTAGTTTTACGTGAAACAAGGCTGAACCCCTAAAGATTATTGTTCAATTCAAAATTTTGTTGTCAACACTAATTAGCTTGTCCATTCTGGGACACACTGTATATGCCTAAATCATACTTGATCACATTGAAAATAAATAACTTCTTCATCTTCCTCTTGTTCAATCTCATCACATTTCTCTTCCTCTTCAAGTGAATTGCCCATAGTTTCTTCAATAGGTTCATGATTCAATTCTATCGAATTATCTAAAAAGTTGTAAAAAAAAGTATTAACTATAATCAATAAAAATTAATCATTAATCATCGTCATATCTAGGCGGAAGGCCTTCTACACTTACTAAAATTAAATTGTAAATGGTTTCTTCAACAGTTGTTAAAGGACTTATTTGTGGAGTTCCACCTCCTGTTTTAAACAACTGTTGTTTATTTCCTGCCACTTTTTTCCTGACATCTTTTTTCATTTGTTCGTATTTACTTTTTAGAGTTATATAGGTTCTGGGAGGTCCATTACACTCTTTGTTAAATTCACACCCTAACTTTTTCCAGGTATCCAGTTTTTGTCTCCAGGTAACTGCATCACTTTTCTTGCATTCTATGATTGATGCATACTTCGTTAGTAGCTTACTAAGCATTTGAAGTTCACACTTCGAAAAATTCGCTGAACGAACCTTCTTACGTACCTCATCTCCATTCATTTTCACTTTTTGGTAAATAATAATTTGTGAACGGCAAATGCGGTAAACCAAAACATAACCACAAATATTCTTCTTTTATCTGTATAATAATGAACTACTTATCTAAAGCGCTGTTGCCTTGTCGTAAACTGACTGTTGCTAATCAAGAGGATAAAATTTAAATGATAAACGAAAAGAAATATAACACGAAGTTTATCAGACGGATAAAATTTATCCGGTTGGTAACTGCCAGTCACTTTACCATGACATTAATAAACTGGCCCTTTTAAAAAGACAAAAGACAATAAAGTTGAATAAAATATTAACATTAAACGTTAAAAATTAAAGATCAAAGACTAAGTAATTGCTTTATAAATTTATGAAAGGTGGTGTTAAATATCTCAAGATCTTAATCTTAACATTCTTGGAATACAGCTGCTAAAAGTATGGTTTAATTGATAAAAAGGTACATAAAATGTTTGTTGCTGTCGAGTTGAGCGGGTTGGAACATAAAGACTTATTTTTGTTAGAAGTTCAGTACAGCTGTATCTGCCAGTGGTAATTTTGAAAAGTAATGTCAGGCCTCTCTTTTTCCTCTTAGTTTCCAAAGAAAATTCTCTATCAAACCATACTCGCAAAGGACACCGAATTTGTAGGCTATGTATCTAAGAAACTTATGTTGCAAATTTTCTATGTTTTTGCTGTGCGTTATGTATTGTGGAGACCAGGCAAAAGAGCAATAATCTAGGTGAACAATAAAGGAATTTAATTGCAATTGTGTCAGTAAAATCATGTAAGCCTTTTGATAAAACCTAATATTTTCATGGATTTATGGATAGTCTTAGGTATGTGTTGATTGAAACTTAAAATAGGATCTAGAATAACTCCAAGGCGAGGGGCAAATCAATCTTTGTAAAAATGTACATGTATTGCGGAATTCATATGATTTCCGCAATCATATGGCGATTTCTGGATGACTGCGGCGATTTCTAGATGACTGCGGCGATTTCTGGATGACTGCGGTGATTTCCACATGACTTCCGACAGATTTCCCGTGACTTTGGTGATTTATGTATTGACTGCAATGATTTCTCTATTGATTGCGGCAATTTCCCTATTGATTGCGGCGATTTACTCGTACGTATGGATTGTTAGTATTATTGCAAAATTGAACGCATTCCGAAGGATTTCTACGATATTGTATGGCTTACCAGTTGGTTTCCAGTAAAAAAAGCATTAGCTAGGTGTTTCATCAGAAAAACTAAATTTTGTATAGCTCATGTATAGGTGCTAAATACAATGCATTGATTTAAAACTAAGTGTGTACGACAAATTTATCAATAAATCAACTTTTTGTACGTTTTTTATTCATTCAAAAGATCAGTTTTAATTGATGTGATACCCGAAATATAAACTTCTATGTAGGTACTTACATGCCTCCATTATTAGATATCTTTGATATGCCTAAATGAACAAATAGGTACAGGTAAATAAAACAAGTTAAGTAATTAAGTAATTGGAGGTTTTTTATTTAAAAATTTCATAAAAGTGTTTTTTTAGACGTTTACAAATTTTATTGATGTTTGTTTCTAGTTTAAATGGACCAGATCCAATTGAATTGATGGGTCCGTAAAATATTAATTTATTTTTAACAATTTGAATGTCGTCTTTTTTTGGCCATAAATATTCTTCAAGTTCAGATTTTAAAAATTTTATTTTACTAGTGGTTTCATCAATTATTTGAATAATCCGACCTATGTACCACGACTCGTAAAGAATTGCGTAATATTGTTCGTTCCTAATTAAAATGCCATTGATATTTTTCTGGAGCAAAGTGTTTTCACCGGTAGTTTTTTCACTTTCTGTTACATCTTTGTCATTGTAGTTATTTGGTATTTTAGCTGTGTTTTTTCTGGACTTGTTTTTTTTTTGTTTTTTTAGTACTGCTGAGGATGTTCCTTTTACACGAGATAATCTGTCAGTTGACAAGCGCCCGTCTTCAGTGGAAAATAACCAACAAAGAGCTGATTTTTTTACCTTCATTTTTTTGTTGTTCACAATTATGTTTAAAAATGAGGTATCAGAATCACTTTTTGTGTAGTAATTTCGAAAATCCTTTATATTAAGATCTTCCAATCCATAAAAAATGCTCTTCTCATTATCTACATCATATATGGTAACTTAAGTTTAAAATTTAATGTTTTTTACTTTATCCGTTTTTGATTTTTCTTTAAAATTCGAAATTTACACATTTTCTTAAATATCTCGAATTCGGTCCATTTTAGAGAAATTATGTATAGGGCAAAAATTATAGAGAATTATATTACAAACAACTTTTATTTGAACAATTTTTATAAAAAAATATTTTTTTTTACATTTTGTCAAATTTCTCGAATACGGACCAAATTTTGTATAGAACAAATTATAGATAATAATATTGTAACTTTTATTTGAAAAAATTTCTTCTCCAAACGTAAATAACATATATTCCATAAAATATAAAAATGATGACTATAAAGTACCCTCCAAATGTTCCGACTCTGTCCAAAATCTAATCGTCTAATTGGACGCCGGAATAAAACTTAAGTTTAAAATTTGGTGTTTTTCTTTGTATTAGTTCATGAGTTATCGAGGATATAGACACACACAGACATCATCGCGAAAATAGTCAAAACAGGTTCAAGATACCCCAAAACATAAAAAACCGTCGAAATTTCGAGGTCGAAAAAAATCATGATTCCTACACTTTCCTTATCTGTAAACAGATAGGAAAGTAAAAATACATTTAAAACCCTAATTAAAACGTGTATCACCCCAACCCCCATAAAATACCAACAATTTTGTTATACATTAAAAAAAAAACTAGATGAAAAGGGACAATTTTCGACCACCTTGTAAAATCTTGTATACAAGTAGATTTAGTGTCTAAATTTATCCTAAAAAAACCTTCAAATTCCAAAATGTAAATTTAACTTAATAGTTCTTGCCTCAAAATGCACGGAAGGGCCCTTTCGATAAATGTAAACTGCAATTTCTTTACACAAAATGGTTTAGATGGCTTAATCAAAGCACCCTACATCAACAATGGCTAATTGGTTAATGTCACCTTGCTGCGCGCGATTTTTAACGATTGCTAGTGATTGCTCAGTGACTGCTAGAGAATTCGGGGGACTGCAAGAGAATTCGGAACGACTGCGAGCGAATTCGGAACGACTGCGGCGATTTCTTAGCGATTGTCACTGATTTTGATGAGACTGCGGCGATTTTCAATGGGATTGCGGACATTTTGTACACGTATTGCGGGAGTGATTTGCCCCTCGCTCCAAGGCCTTTAATTTGATTAACAGACTCCAATATATGACCATTTAAGTTATAATCAAAGTAGTAGTTGGTACATGGGATCGATAAAAGCTCATGACATGACACTTTATGGCATTCAAGTCCATGCCATTTAAGGAAAACCAGTTTCATAGATTATCAAGGTCAGACTGAAGCCAGAGGGCATCATAAATGGTTTTAATAATTAGGAAAACTTTTAAATTATCTGCAAACAATAGTGCTTTGTCATACTGAAAACAATGAATGATGTCTGGTTCCAACATTTTTGCTTCACTTTTTAAAACCTAGAAAATTAAAAATTGTGCCAATTTTGATTGAATTAACTTTTTTTTAAAATGGTGAATAAATATGAATCTTTATACAAATTATAATTTTATCTTAGAGTAATTATTATTTGAAGTTTTTCTTTATAATTGCAGATTACTCATCTTCACAATCAAGATCAAACCAAACTAGCGGACATTTTAAAAAGTATCCTGTAATATGTAAGTTTTGTGGAAAAATTTTTATAGAAAAATTTGAATTTTTGCAGCACTTTTTTATCCATTCAGTGAGTAATAAAAAGAGAAAAGTATCAAAAAAAATCGATGAAGATATCAAATACGAATCTGATAATATGATGAAATTGAAAAGTTCCATACAACACCAGCTAAAAAGATGCTCAAGCGAAAAACAATTTAAATGTAACATTTGTTCCAAAGAATTCAAATATAAGCGCAGCTTTCAGAACCATTTAAATATTCATGATAATAAAATACCATTCAAATGTGCTCTTTGTCTCAAAGAATTTAAATTTAAATCTTCCTTAATTCAACACGTTAGAATTCATACGAATAAAAAGCACTTCGAGTGTAATATTTGCGACAAAAAATTTATTCGGAAATTTGACTTACATCAACATTTATTAATTCATATAAACAAAAAACTGTTCAAATGTAAAATATGTTTCAAAGGATTTAATCAGAAGACTGGCTTAACGAATCATTTAAGAATTCACAATTATAAAACACGATTTAAATGTGACATTTGTTCCAAAGAATGTACCTTGAAATCAAATTTACAACAACATTTAAGAATTCATTCTAATGAAAAATTATTCAAGTGTAACAAATGTTCCAAAGAATTTAAGCAAAAAAGCGACTTACAGCAACATTTAAGAATGCACTCTAATGAAACACCATTGAAGTGTAAAATTTTCAGCAACAAATTTACTCAACCATCAACCTTACAGCAACACTTATTAATTCATGCTAATAAAAAACTATTCATGTGTAACATATGTTCCAAAGAATTTAATCAGAAGTGTCACTTACGGAGACATTTGAAAATTCACACTAATGATAGACCATTTAAGTGTAACATTTGCTCAAAAAAATTTGCTCAAAAATCTGACTTACAGCGACATTTATTAATTCATGCTAATAAAAAACTATTCATGTGTAACATATGTTCCAAAGGATTTAATCAGAAGTGCCACTTACAGAGACATTTGAAAATGCACACTAATGATAAGCCATTTAAGTGTAACATTTGCTCAAAAAAATGTACTCAAAAATCTGACTTACAGCGACATTTAATAATTCATGCTAATATAAAACAATTCAAGTGTAAAATTTGTTTCAAAGAATTTAAACATAAACGCAGCTTACAGAGACATTTAGATATTCATACTAATCAAAAGCCATTCAAGTGTAAAATTTGTTCTAAAGGGTTTAGTAGGAAATACAATTTAACGTATCATATTAAAACACATATGTATTGGTCGGAGAGTTAATGATGAATTTGGACAAGATATTTTAGGCGACAATTTAAAATTATTACAAAAAACTGTAAGTTGGCATGCCAATCGCTTGGTTCACCATCATTCCTACAGGCATGTGTAACAACCAGGAATTTAGACTTGGTTCAACTGATAGGTCTTTAGCTACTGTTGTCAATATACTATTAAGGAATTAAGGCAGCAAAGGGTCCAGGTGTCCAGAAGGAACATGCATTCATGAGCCGATATGGCATGATGAACATCGCTAAATAATTGACAGACTTATGCCTAAATTTTGTGATAAATCGGTCGTGTTCCTGCGCTGGTTTTGGCTTTTGGCAAGCAGGCTTGAATTTCGCTCTAGAGTTTTACCGTTAGCTGGAATTTTGTAATTATTGAAAAATTCTTTGGCTGATCCCCTGGTTATACCATTTGACAAATTAATTCTAACGAACAACGATTTCTTCATAAAGAGTAACATTGCAATCTGGTTGTATTTTCTATTTTTATAACAATTTACATTGAAACCCAGAAAACCAGAAGAATCATCAAGAATCGCTCGACTTTCTAATGATATGTTCTCTACGTCTATATTCTGCTTATTACCTCAAACAGTAGGGCCAATAAAGACAAGATAATATTTTTTCGTCTTAATAAAATCGCAAATCGCTCGATTGCTTTTAAGTAGTGCTGGCAAAAACCGAAAAAAATCAAAACCGGTTAATCGGTTTCTAATAAAACCGGTTTCGGTTATAACCGGTTAACCGGTTTTGGAAACTAAAAATCGGTTTCGGTTTCGAAAACCGAAAATCGGTTTTAAAAACCGAAAATCGATTTTAAAAACCGAAAATCGGTTTTAAAAACCGAAAACCGGTTTCGGTTTCAGTCAAAACCGCGGTTAACCGAAAACCGGTTAACCGATTAACCGAAAAATCGGTTTCGGTTGCCAGCACTAGTAAGTAACTAGTAACAGTGAAAAAGGCACGGATCGTGCCTATTACGCAGCACTGCACACTTGCGTCATAACTTATGCTTGTGATCGATTTCGACCAATAACAAAGTATTTCGTAAGTTTTGTAGGACATGCAGTGTTGCCGATTAAAAAATTAAAGAAAATTGTTGCTAATTAGCAACAATTAATGATTATTAATCTAAAAATTTAAAATTAACATTTCCTACAGTTTGAGTCTAAGTAGTTCGCTATCCAAAATCGATAAACGGTTTTCGGTTTTTTAAACTAAAAACCGAAAACCGTTTTCGGTTTTTGAAACCAAAAACCGATAACCGGAATTTAGTTCTTGAAACCGAATGCGGAAAACCGGTTTTGAAAACCGAAACCGGTTTTCGGTTTTAAAAATCGAAAGAAGAAAACCGATTTTAAAAACCGAAAACCGATTATAAAAACCGGTTAATCGGTTTTCGGTTTCAGCCAAAACCGCGTTTAACCGAAAACCGATTTTAAAAACCGAAAACCGGTTAATCGGTTTCAGTCAAAACCGCGGTTAACCGAAAACCGGTTAACCGAAAACCTATTTTAAAAACCGAAAACCGATTAATCGGTTTTCGGTTTCAGTCGAAACCGCGGTTAACCGGTTAACCGAAAACCGATTTTAAAAACAGAAAACCGATTAACCGGTTAATCGGTTTTCGGTTTCAGTCAAAACCGCGGTTAACCGAAAACCGGTTAACCGATTAACCGAAAAATCGGTTTCGGTTGCCAGCACTACTTTTAAGTACTACTCAGAACTTTAAGAGGAAAGATCCCACTGTATATAATTTTTATATAACACACAAAAATCGCATGTATTTTTTTTATTTTTTAATATTTTAAAAACATTTATTAGTCAAAGAAAACTAATATTTTTTTATTCAGAAAGGATAACACATTCATCCCTGTATAAATCCATAGAAACAGAAAAATCATCAAGAATCGCTTGACTTCCTAATGATCTATATTTATGTAAGAATATTGAAGGTTTAATCTGCTTAATCCAAATAGCAGGGTTAAGACAAAGTTAAATAAGTATTTCGTCTCAATGAAATCGCTCGATTTCCTCTTAAAAAATACCGCCCGGTATTTTAAAAGATATTATTTTTACATAGAATTAGTACAAAAATATTTAGAAGGCATAACACACATTCTTATCTGAATAAGTCCATAAAAACAGAAAAATCATCAAGAATCTCTCGACTGCCTAATGATCTATATTTATACAAGAATAGCGAACGTCTATTCTGTTAATTCAAACAGTAGAGTTAAGACAAGGTTAAATGAATATTTCGCCTCAATGAAATTGCTCGATTTGCTCTTAGAAAATACCGCCCGGTATTTTAAAAGATATTATTTTTACATAGAATTAGTACAAAAATATTTAGAAGGCATAACACACATTCTTATCTGAATAAGTCCATAAAAACAAAAATATCATCAAGAATCGCTCGACTTCCTAATGATCCATATTTATGCAAGAATAATGAACGTCTATTCTGTTAATTCAAAACGTAGGGTCATAAAGACAAAATTAAATGAATATTTCGTGTCAATGAAATCGTTCGATTTCCTCTTAGAAAATACCGCCCGGTATTTTTAAAGATACTATTTTTACATAGAATTACTGCAAAAGTATTTAGAAGGGGTAACACACGTTCTTCCCTGTATAATTCAGAACAGAAACATCATCAAGAATCGCTCGACTTCCTAATCGATATTTATTCAAGAATAAGGAACGCCTATTTTGTTAATTCAAACAAAAGGATGATAAAAGACAAGATTAAATGAATATTTCGTCTCAATGAAATTGCTGGATTTCCTCTAAGACAATACCTCCCGGTATTTTAAGATATTATTTTATTTTTATCACGATTTTTTCAACTGCAAGAAATATGACGACGACAGCGATGTTGTATAATACGATATCCAAACAAATTTAAGATTTTATTTATGGGATATTTCGAGGGAACACATTAATGCTTTGTTGATGTTAACGAATATAAAATATGTTTAGAATGTAAAATATTGATTGATAAACGAACCAAAACGAATTATTATAATTATAATTACTTTTAAATATAATTGCATTGTTTTATAAAATAAAGTAGTTTATTTTCGATATTCAGAAGGAATAACGTACGTTTTCCCCTGTATAAGCAATATTTTATGTTAATGATGAAATATAATAACAGCTTACCTGTTGATTTTTCGTTAGAGCTATACTCTTTTTATTTGTTCCTGTAAGTATTTCACCTACTTTGTTTTGCACTATTTTTATCCCGATCTTAAGAAAAATGACCGCGTTTTAGCATTTTTAATTTTTAAATTCACTTTTAAACATAATTTAAAGTTTGGTATACGATAGGAGCAGTGAATATGGGGCATTTTGTGTACTCTAAAAAAAAATACCTGCTGATGACTAGGTTTCAAGGACAAGCGAAGGAAAATTTATCAATATTATAAATAAGATAAAACTTTTCTAATTAATCAAATAACGAACTAGATATTTTCGCTGAGTTGCAGTATTCAAGTTCGCCGATCACAACTGTTTAATTTATGGCGAAATAAATTAAACTTTGATGTACAGAATGTTGTTATTTTGAGCGCTGGTATTGTTAATTCTGGTGAGATCCGGAACATTCGTCACAGTTCCAGTAGGTACTTGTAAGGATGTTTCTAGTAAGCACCTCTGCCATTTCCTAGGATACGCATTTACCAAATTCGGCATCGTGAATGATTCACTATGACTAGCCATAGACGTATCACCGGGGGGTTGACTTATTTTCTAAAATATTAGTTGGTAATCGGACAAGTGGAGCCTTAAAAGCCCAAACAAGGTAGATAGCATGACTGGATTAGTATAAAATGTGAATAGATTTCAAATTTTCTTTTTTTAAAACCTAGAAAATTATTGCTCCGCTTTTAAATAGATTAACCTTTTTAAAAATTACGAATCCGTATACAAATTATAGTTTTCTCATTGAGATATTGAGTAATTGTTATTTGAAGAATTGAATACGAATCTAAGTATACGATGAAATTGAAAAGTTCCATAAAGCAACTGCTACAAACAACATTATCGATAAGTTCTTATGAGTACGGTTTCAAAATTTTACCATACATTTAAAAAAAAACCTTGAATATTAAAAATTGACCCGATTTGATTAGATTAACGTTTTTTGCAGAAAAATCCTTGCACAAATTATACTTGTTCCATTGTGTGTTTCTTGTATTTGAAGTTTTTTTCTTTATACTTACAGATTGTCCATCTTCGCAATCAAGAATAAACCAAACCGGTGAGCATTTCATAAACCAACCTGTAATATCCAAGACACAATTAGTAACGCATACTACAAACACTGATGTCAAGCTGTTTTGCTGTAGCATTTGCTCTAGAGAATTTAATCGCAAATCTAACTTAAAACAACATTTATTAATTCACTCTAATCAAAAACCGTTTATATGTGCCATTTGTAATAAGGAATTTAATCTGAAATCTAACTTAGCCACACATTTAATAAAACACACTAATCTAAAACCATTCAAGTGTGATATTTGTTCCAAAGGGTTTAATCACAAATCTATCTTACAGAAACATTTATTAATTCACTCTAACAAAAAAGCATTCAAATGTAACATTTGTTCCAAAAAGTTTTTTCATAAATATAACTTACAGATGCATTTAATAACGCACACTAATGAAAAATTATTCCAGTGTAATATTTGTTCCAAAAAATTTAAACGTAAATGCAACTTACAGAAGCATATAGCAATTCATTCTGATAAAAAGCCCTTTCAGTGCGACATTTGTTTTAAAGAATTCAATCAGAAATCTAACCTACGAAAACATTTGATAATTCATACCAACGAAAAACCATTTAAATGTGACACTTGCTCTACAAAATTTACACAGAAATCTAGTTTACAACGCCATTTAAATCATTCACATTGATTGCCTTGATCTCTCTACAATATTAAGAAATACACCTAACAATTTAAATGAACGAATGACAGTTGAAATGCGACATTTGTTCCAAAGAATTTAAATATAAATAGACCTTACAGAATCATTTAAAAAGTCACACTAAAGTAATTAAATCATTTGTGACATTCATTCTAAAAATTTTTGTATTAAATCTATATTTAAGGAACATTTAATAACACAAACTAATGAAAAATCGTTTAAATTTAAAATTTGCAGTGACACAACTTACAGATTCATTTAAAGTTTATCTTACCCAACCAAAAAATTAATCTTGTGTTCAAAAAATTCATCTAACAAATTTATCACATAGTTACTGATGAGCAAATTTTGAAAGATTAGGTAAGCCGTTTTTGAAAAAAAAATATAATTAATTATATATATATTTTGTCAATTCAAGTAAGTAAAAAAGTTATCTTTTATTAGATTTTTTTCAAAATTGTTCTACGCGGTCTTTATGTCATTGTTATACTAGGAGAATTTTTTACCATTTAAATGTGACGTTTGTTTCAAAGAATTTAAATATAAATCTCTGTTAAATCGACATGTCACAAATCATACTAATGAGCAACCATTCGTGTGTAACATTTGCAACAAAAAATTTACTAATAAATAAAACTTAGAGCATCATTTATTAATTCATGCAAATAAAAAACTATTAAAGTGTAAAATATGTTTCAAAAAATTTAATTAATTACGGATAATTCATACTAATGAACAGTGTGGCAAGAAATAATTCATATTAATTAAAAGTCAGTGATTTAATTTAATTGATTTTTTTCAAAAAAGTTGCAAATTATTTCAAACTTTTTCCAACAAGGACAAATTGCATTAGCAACCTCAAATTGAAATATCTGGTAACCTTAAAATAATGCATCTCTTCAAATTATTAAAAATTGACCCGATTTGATTAGATTAACGTTTTTTTGCAGAATATTCCTTTCACAAATTATACTTGTTCCATTATGTTTCTTGTATTTGAAGTCTTTTCTTTATAATTACAGATTGTCCATCTTCGCAATCAAGAATAAACCAAACCGGTGAGCATTTCAAAAACCAACCTGTAATATCTAAGACACAATTAGTAACGCATACTACAGACACTGATGTCAAACCGTTGCGCTGTAGCATTTGCTCCAGAGAATATAATCACAAAACTAACTTAAGACAACATTTATTAATAATTCACGCTAATGAAAAACCGTTTAAATGTGACATTTGTACTAAGGAATTTACTCAGAAATCTAACTTAGTGGCACATTTAATAAGACACACTGATCTAAAACCGTTCAAGTGTGACATTTGTTCCAAAGAATTTAATCAGAAATCTACCTTAAAGAAACATTTATTAATTCACTCTAACGAAAAAGCATTCAAATGTAACATTTGTTCCAAAGAGTTTAATCATAAATATAGCTTACAGAGGCATTTAATAACGCACACTAATAAAAAACCATTCCAGTGTAAAATTTGTTCCAAAAAATTTAAACATGAATGCAACTTACAGAGTCATATAACTATTCATACTAATGAAAATCCATTCAAGTGTGAGATTTGTTTTAAAGGATTTAATCAAAAAGGCAACTTACAAAAACATTCATTAATTCACAATAGTGAGAAACCATTCAAGTGTAACATTTGCTCGAAAGAATTTACTCAGGAACATATCTTAAAGACGCATTTAATAATTCATTCTGATGAAAAGCCGTTCCAGTGCGACATTTGTTTTAAAGAATTTAATCAGAAATCTAACCTACAAAAACATTTGATAATTCATACCAACGAAAAACCATTTAAATGTCACACTTGCTCTACAAAATTTACACAGAAATCTAGTTTACAACGCCATTTAAATTATTCACACCATTGAGGTAGTATTATAGGGAGACACGATCACGTGGTCAAAAGCGGCATTAGTCCGACATATTGAGCGCTTTCTTTTATGTCATCTGGGTTACTCGCGAGCAGTACCAGAGCTGCTCCTGACTCTAATTGACCGTTTTTTTTAACGGGGTTTGTTGATCTGTAGCAACTCCCACATGTTCTCTTCTCCCCTCAAGCACATTGTTACTTGTCTTGTCAATTGTCATTGGGTTATCGGTTTAATGTCAGATAGATTTTATATATCTTTTATATATTATAATAACGAGGTTTTTCGCTGACTAAAGATTAAAATGAATACACAAATAGATTTATTGAACTTAATGATCTACAACTAAATAAAAAATACCGTCTACTTGTTTCTAATGAAGATTTCGACAGAGCATCCATAGGTAATGAATTAAAATTTAATAAATGTATACATACTGTGCATAAATTTATATTTCAGATGAAGAATTTGCCAGGTCCCTAATAAATCATTGTAGGGTAACTTCAAAAATGCCATTCAATTCACCAGTGGTTGAAAATACTGATGCCCAATCATCTACTTCTGTGGCAAATCAAGTACAATTAGCATCTTCGGAAAAGTGCATTTGGTCATATAATAAAACTATGGCACTTATAAAACGATTTAAATTTTAAATAACTGCACCAACTGCACTGACTTTGACAACTGACAAGTGTCAATAAAGGAGTTCGCCGTAGACCGTTATCACATTGCGTTCGGTCTGCCAAGTTCCTTTAACTTCTTTAACACTTTTAACTCCAAACGACCCTTTTAGCGTTCGGTTTAGTCCGATTAGTGACAGTTTAACACGCTTAAATGTCATTTAAAAGCACCCTAAAATTTGTCCCGCTCCAGCCCCTGACTATCCGAACTCGCCTTCAGTCGTTCTTTTTTGACGTCATAGGGTTCCATACTCTAAGAACATTAAACACTTAAAAATAAAGCACTCAGTCATTGCGTTCGGTCTGCCAAGTTCCTTTAACTCCTTTAACACTTTTAACTCCAAACGACCCTTTTAGCGTCCGATTAGTGACAGTTTAACACGCTTAAATGTCATTTAAAATTTGTCCCGTTCCAGCCCCTGACTGCCCGAACTCGCCTATTGATGCGACACTTACGTCAAACAAACGTTGCATTGTTGTGATTTTATTAATTTGATTTTAATGGTCGAGTTTTCGTGTTTTTATTTGCTTTTTGTGTGATATTTATATATTATAGTAAAAGACAAGAATGGTTTCATGTGTTCTTCGTAACTGCAATAGCAGGAATGACATTGATAAAAATAAATAGACAGGAATAACATTTAATGGGTTAGTATACAAAATGATAACAATAAACAGGGTAGTATTTGAAAATTTGTTTGCTTATTTAAATAGTTTCTGTCATAACATGTTTTACGGTAATTATTTCATGTACTTACAGTTTTCTGTATCTTATTATTGTTAATATATTCCATTTTATGCTCTACAATCATATATAACAGCAAACTCTTAAATATTTTAACTAACAAATATAGCCCAAATGACAATGTTTTCCTTTCACATTTCCTAAGGAAGAACATTTTGTCAGGGATTCAGTCAGGGAGTCAGTCAATGTATTCAACATACATTATTTGCCAGACCCTTTGTCAGAATTTTTCAAATTTATTTTTGCCTATAAAGCGGGATATATTGTCCAATTTTTAAAGAAGTAATACGATGGATTTGTATCTATTTTCTTTTATAGATCTGTATCAGCATCTGCAACGTGTGGAGGGTGAGTTAACCCACGGCACTCGAGGCTCACTAGACTAATTTGTAGGGGGTGATACAGAGTACGTATTTTGACAGCCCCATGGTATGGAGATGATTCCGTACTTGACAATGACCAGTCAGAATTCCTGTGATTATGCGCAGATTCTGTTTAGTCATAGTCAAGTATTTGTTTGCTGTAGTGTTGTTAGGATAACTTAAAAGCTCCCTTGAAAGACTGCAGCTTCTTGTTTCATCCCATCTTTCCTTTAATTTTACAAGGGAATGTTTTTTAATTAGGTTTGTCCCTAGCGATTTGTCAGTACGACACATCACCTAACCTTACTTACTTATGAAAAGACACTTAAGCAGTCACATTATCCAGTTTTTTTTGCACAAAATGCACTCGCGAACAATGTTGTTAGCTATTGTCACGAAGTCGTGTTTTTTGTACCAGTTTCGTTTTTGAAAGAAAATACAAAATATAAAAAAATATATAATTTATTCAATCTCAACCACACCTCATTTACTTTAACAATATTTTTAAAATGTTTTGGTACACTTACCACATTTCTTAAGCTTGGGGCACGTCACAATCTTCCCCAAAAGGCACAATGAAAAACTTTATAGTTTTTAAGGATTTTTAAATTATATCAAATAAATGAGTCTCTTTTCGAGTCCACCTTTTTCGCTGTCGAGTTTACAACTAACTTCCTTGTTTAATTTACATACCTAATTTTTTGAATATTGCCGATCTGCACAATTTTTCGTAGTATAGCCAAACTTAAATTACGTGGTTGATGACCTGACATTATTTTAATTAAACAATATAATTTCGTTATTATTTCCTACGTATATTAGCAACTCGGCAGTATTTTGTAATCGTTTTTAAATTTGTTTAATTAGGTATGTTTTGACTTAATAAAAAATGCTGAATTAAAAATAAAATGTATTTGTTTAATTTACTTTAATTTGCTTTAAAAAACACTAAGAAAAATTATTATTAATATTTTTGGGATTTGTGACACTAAAACTATAAGACGTAATATTTCCAAAAATGTATAAAAATCAACAGAAACACCCGATATGGAACAATTTACTGTAAGGCAACGTGTCATACTATCGATCGATAAAATACTATACGTGACGTATAGTATGAATGAAACAAGGTTATTGTCAATTGAAGTGTTGTCACGTTTAACGCATTTAAAATCCATGCATTTATTTGCAGGCCTATTAATGTTGTTTGCCTTAGTATCTGCAAAGATGTTATTTAGCAGGCGTATGTACAGGGTGGCTCACGCTCAACGGGACGGAGCTTTATGGGAAAACGACCAAAGATATAAAAAATTCGTTTGGGAGGAATACGTAGGTTACAGACGGCTACAATTTAAAATTTGTTAGATGTATACAGGATGTCCCACATAAGAAAAAAAAATAGTTCATTAAAAATTATTCAAACAAGAGTAAACAATTAATTTCTGGGAGACTTTTTTTCCTTAAAAATTCAAATAAATCGAAAACTAATAATAATAGTAATAGGGGACCTTTAGTTAACTGACATTACTTTTGATGTAGTTTTTAATTCTAAAATAAAAAACAGGGTGTTCCATTAAAAATAATATAACTTTGTATATTTTCTCTTTTAAAATGTTGGAGGCACAAAAAATGTTACTTTATGGAACAAATTTCACATCTTGAATTATATACGATTCTCTATTCTGTTGTTAAAAGAGCTGTAAAAAAGTTATAGAGTTTTGTCTACTTATTGTGATTTCAAATATAAAAAAATGCCTTTAGGTGGAAGCTTTTCGAAAAAATGTTTGTTGGGAATTTTATCCCTTTTTTTTGAGTCTTTTTAAACGAGTTGTATATTTAAAATTACTGTTTTCTTCCTATCTGTATTTTTATTAATATATTTATATTTCTGTATTATGAGAAAGCCTTCTTTCCACTTTATGGAAAGTCATAGTAATTTTATCAGAATTCTTTGGTTCATAATGAATGATATTTTTAATTTATTAGATACGTATTAATGCGAATTATATTGAAATATTAAAAAATCTGTTTTGTAAAATTGTTGACTATCAGGGGAAATTTGGGAAGGTACATCAACTTCAATTTTAAAAGAAGTAAAATTGGGAATAATGAAGATTTATTAACGACAGGGTTATTAAATATATCTCTCTGCTGATTTTTCTAAGCAATCTATAAGTATATTTACTTGTATGTATAGTATATGGCGACATAAATGTAAATAGGTACAGTTCCATACAAATTGTTAAAAATGTAGGTTTGTTTATTTGTAATTGTTATTTAAATTACATTGTTACCTATATTTTCTGTAAATAAATTTTATAAGTTGTTTTTAATTTTTTCTTTCAATTTTTCTACCCATGAAAAATAAAGCTTCTTAACTATATAATGTACAATTTTCTGAAAATAAAATGATATACTTACGTTAGGATTTTTTTTATCTATTAGGTACCTGTGTAAAATTAAATTTCTCAACTATATAGTAATATTTCTGCAAAAAATTCAAAAATATATAATATTCTTTTTATACACCTACATATATATTATGTATTCTATGCACAGACTACCAGGGGGGCTATTTTCAAACTCGAGAGAATTCATTTCTCTCAAGAGAAATGTCATACGTCAACGTAAAACCGTATTTTTAGGGCTCTTAGGGCCAGTGTGAACTCACTGACTGTTTCTCTCGGTTTATTTAGAGAGAATTAAAATCTTCCTAAGAATTTTAATCATCGATGCCTTTAAAAACAACATTTCCACATTGACGTATGACATTTTTGATGAGAATCTTGAGAGAAATGAGTGCTCCCATACTTTGAAAATAGCCCCCCTGGGGACCTATTTTCAAAGTATGTGAGCACTCATTTCTCTCAAGATTCTCATCAGAAATGTCATACGTCTATGTGGAAACGCTGTTTTTAAAGGCCTCTAGGATTAAAATTCTTATGAGGATATTAATTATCTCTAAATAAACCGTGAGAAACAATCAGTGAGTTCACACTGGCCCTTAGGACCCTAAAAATACTGTTTTACGTTGACGTATGACATTTCTCGAGAGAAATGAATTCTCTCGACTTTGAAAATAGCCCCCCTGATGGGAAAAGTACGCGGTTGAATTTTACTGAATGGATAATGGTTATAATTTTATATTTATTCATAATGAAATCTACCAATCACAGTTCATTGTTAACCAGGCTATTAGAATTTTGAAAATATGACAATTCTGTCACTATATTTTTTAATTATCGAAAAAAAATGAGTGATTCTTGTAAAGAATCGATATATAATAGCATCCCACAAGTTATTCGTCTATATTTACAAATAAATCGTAAATTTTAACAAAAGTAAACCAATAAAAAATGTATTGATGGTCTTAGCGTTCTGAGTTCTCATGCAACAGATCAGGGGCACAAATCTAGAATGAAGACTAATAATTTTTATTAGGTTTAATTTTATTATTTTAGTATTTCGTTAGTTGATCTGGGTAAAAATAGTACATAAATCGATGCTGTACAACTCGAATCGATTGTCCGTATCGCACTCAGACGGTTTTAAACAGTGCCGGCTCGTGGGCACTAGAGGCAGTGGGGAACACACTAGAAAGGAATCCCGGGATTCGTTTTTCCCTTAGGAAAACTTAATGAACATTTTATATATTTCAAAACAATCAGTTGGGACAATAACGATTTCTGAATGTGACTACAGGGAGCTAAATGTGACCACTCAAAATGCATTTAACTATGTATGTGGCTATTTAATCAAGAAATCATTACATATCCACTCTTGCGAAATTTGCGTTTTCTCAGAAGAATGCAATTTACTTAACTATTCTAACTTGTCAATGCATTTTAATGCATACGACTCTGAAGAAAAGGTGTTTGGCAATTTAAAATCTCCCAGCGAAAAATTTCTGTTTTATATTTTCAAATTAGAAACAATATTTATATCTCTATTTGATAGTTTGTCAACTAAGCCTCGAATTTCCAACGCATACCTGTTTGAGATGAGTAAAATAGAATTTGGTCATATTTGCCAACAATTTGCGAAAATGTACACCATTAAATTATTTATAAGACTTAGAATTTTTTATACTCTTAAATATGCAAACAGAGATTTGAAATCCTCGAAAAAGTCAGATAAAACCAAAAGAAAATTGTCCCATTTATAAACATTGATATTTTTTTTTCATCATATTTTTGAGTGCTTTATAAAAAAAAAGTTATTTTTCTTTGTAGTTATGTCTTAACTACTCCAATCACAAAGCACATAGAGGTTCCACGTGAATGACCAAGGTCAAAACCGACAACTGACATTTTTTATGCTATTTGCTCCAAACTCTAGATGGGGCTACTGGTGAAATTATGATTTCTTACTCCATTTTTAAGCCTTATGGAAGAAAAACTTAACCAAAGACTCCAAAGATGTGACGTTTATTTATTTATGTTTTTGGTTAGTTTCATTTTTCCGTCTGATTTTAGTGATTTTTTGTTGGCTTTGGCTTTTGGTTTCTGTTTATAGTTTCGTCTTAGTTATTTGCAAAATTGTGATGTTTCGCTTTTTTATTTCCTACTGTTTTGCAATAATTTTGGTGCTACGTTGAAAACTTCGAGAAAAACTTCATTGATTCACCATGCATCTGCATCATAAAAAGACAAACGGGGACAACAACTAATTGATAATCAATTTATCACTGGACCAGATTCCGAAATCTGTATCACCATCTGTATTTGGAAGGAAAATACCTATTTATCATTGAATCAATAGTTAAAAGGATTCACCTTTTAATACAATACCTATATTACATTTGTCCTCAGTTAAAAAGACATTTATAAAATATATAACTTTAGTGTTAATAAAATGTAATATCCTAGTCTCTACTTCACATTTAAATTATTGATAGGTATTTTAAAGATTTGAGATTATATATCTATTTGCTCCAAGTAAGTATTCGTTAAATATGTTTTATTATTTGTATTTATTTTTATCTAATAATATTTATTTAAGTTATTAATACACATATTTTAAGAATGTTCTATTTTATTATTTATTGATATATCTTATATTTATTTAATAAAAATATGCAGAACCAACTCTCCACATTAGACCCCTTATAACAAATTAATTCTTCAAATTTGGTATAATCGACCTAAATTATTTTGTAAAATAAAAGTTTCGAACTTACTAGTTCCATACTTTATTTTATAAAATAATTTATGTGGAAATCATTTAAAATTTAATTTAAAACTACTACCTACTCCTAAAAATTACAATTTGAATTTACCGCCATCTGTCAATTGTCATTTTAGTTCCAGCTCCAAACACAAGGTGGCGCTAATTTGGTTTAAAAGTTTAACATTGGCGTGGGGTCTCTAGAAGATACATGCTTTGTGACTCCAATGGTCCAACTAACGTTTTTTCGTAATCACAATAAATAAATTTTTATCATGGTCCAACAAACGCGCACCTCATCGCCTTTGTGAGGAAGCCGGTAAAGATGCCGCTGCGAACATTCGTATCTGATCTAGGTAATCTGTGCCATGGGACAGCGCTCCGCTTGTGACGTATAATCCGTCGCATGTGTTGGTCTCTTGTTAAGCGATATTGTCGTTGTCCTTGTTTTTCGCATCATAATGAGAGAGAAAACAATAGAGGCACACATTTACTGTGCCCATCTTAGTTTCGAAATTCTCGGAACGTCGCTCAACGCCCGGCCGTCCAGTGTCGTGCCAACGCGCTTTGCGCTGAATATTAGATAAAATAATAATAGACATTGAGGAAAATATAAAATATGATCTCCGTTTAACACAACGGTGGAATCGGTCCTAAGTTTTTTTTTTTTTGTTTATTATACTAGGGCACGTGCCCAACTGCCCTTACGGGCAAACCGCCACTGGTTTTGAGTAGTGCCATCATATCCACAAACTGCTATTTTTTACCCTTTTAGAACAGTGGGCGTGTGGTGTCCCCATATACTTTGATTTTCTTTTACTATACGGAGAATGGTCGTACTGCGCAGCTTTCTGAGTGCCTTTTAAAAGGAGATAGAAAACTCCGCCATTTTGAACCCTTATTACGTGTTGTCTACATCTTGGCGCAATATTTTTAATAGGTGCGTTTTAATCATCCGCTTCTGCTTCGAAATTGTCGGTTTTCTTGTTTTAATCTGACAGGTTAAAACGACTAAACCGACAATTCCGGAAGCAGAAGCGGATAATTAAAACGCACCTGATATTTTGCTTGCTGCTGTCAGTGTCAGTGAATATTTGCTGCGTTTGAGAATCCACATCGGATGCATCTGAGATGTAAAAAATCTTTGATCACGTGATGCAGTATACGTAAATGTAATGGGACAGATGTGTCCGATGTGGATAAAAAAACGCTCGAGATGTAAAAAATGCATCCGATGTGGATTCTCAAACGCAGCAATTATTTTTGAAGTCACAGTTTATTGCTAAAGAATCAGTTAGCTCACTCGGACCAGTTGAAAGTTTCAAAATAAGATCCACTCCAGGGATACAAATTTAGGATACGCAGAAGACAGCTGTTTTATTATAGGCGGTTGTTATATATTGTATTATCCGAGTTGCGCAGTGTATAAACTGGAACATTGAGATCAAAAGTGCCGACGCAGAGTGAGCGATCTGATTCTTTAGCTATAAACTGTTGCATAGGGTTCAAAATGGCCGGGCCCTATGCTGGGCGTGTCGGACCTCTCTCTTGCGCCGTATAGTAAAGAAAATCAAAGTATGTGGGTGTCCCCCACTGGAGGCCGGAAATAGTAGTTAGCCATATGCAAATACCATTCTAGTTGCCTGAGTCTTTATTATTCCTTCTGACTCTGATTCCATCGACCCCGTTGAGATCTACCGGCCAACATGGTAAAGAGTGAGTTCGCTCTTAGTATTAAGGGCCGATTCCACCGTTGCGCGTTTAAAATGACATTTTTACATTAACAATGTAATTTTAATCTCTGTTTAACACAACGGTGGAATCGGCCCTAAGCCAAACACAAAAGAGTACGCTCCGAGTGTCAAGACGACATACTCAATGAACTGGAGAGGGGTAGAATGCCATTTTTATTGTTCATCTCACTCGGGAGTATTTATAACACCCATTTTCTGTTTCACATTGTTATTGTCCAGTCCACAATCTGGTGGATCAGACAATAATGTGAAATAGAAAATAAATACTCCCGAGTGAGACGAAAAATGCCCATAGAAGGTGAGTTCGGGCTGCGCACTCCAGAGTGGAGT